TCGCATTTCTGCAGAGCGGCTTCAAACGTTGATAGCGTTCTGGTCACAGCTTCAAATGACCTGATTAAAATTGGATATGGAGCGACGTACCGTCGCCTACACTAGGCAATTTAGATTGTACGATTTTATTAAGAATGGATGACACAACACTGGTTTGAATGAATGGCACTATGGCAGCCACTATAGACTTAGAACACAAATTAGGAAGAGTTACGAGTTGGGAATGACTCCCAGCTCCTACAAACCCCAAGAGCTGAGGTACAGTGATGTGGAATAGTGCCATACTATCCCCAACCACGAGGGGTCCAAAAATACCCTCCACAAGGGCCTACACCAAGAGAAACGTTACACTACACAAAGTAATGTAACTATTCTCACTATCTTGAAGTTTACCCTTTTGAAGTGCTTCGAAATTACTTGAATCTTGAAACCAAGGCTCTGATTCTTCAAGATAAATTCTTCCTTGAGTTCTTGGAAGTCTTCTGCACACACCTGCAACACGCCGAACGTTCCACACACGACAAAATAGAAAACCGCATACGACACGCAAACGCCGACATGACACGCGACTAGCGATAACTCGCTATTGACTCGACACACACATTCAAAATAATGCCTCATCATTCACACACTATTGTAAGCATGAAATATATATTATCTCATGCCTTCAAACCATTCCATGCACACACGCATTCACGCACACGGACTACAAGCCAAATGCAAACCGTAGGGTTGCACCAACAAACTCCCCCTCGGATTGTTGGCCTTAGGATCTTAAGGAGCGACAAAGGCTGGTACTGGACTGGTGGTAGTGCAGCTCCCACACTAAGAACCTTTCAGGCGCCCGGACTAGAAACTACAGACGCACCAAGACTTGAAACACAAGTCTCAATAGCAGCTGCAGCTCCCACATACTGGTGCGTGTATTGGCCGGGTCCGACAGGGCCCCGCGGTGGAGGTTGCCGTTGGCGCTGCTGCTGAACCCGCAGCTGCTGCTGCGGCCACCTGTGCTGTTGCTGCTGCCACCTGTGCTGTTGCTGCTTCCACTGTTGCTGCTGAGACCACTGCTGTTGCTGCGGCCACTGGTGCTGCTGCAGCCACTGGTGTTGCTACCACTGCTATTGCTGCGGCCACTGGTGTTGCTACCACTGCTATTGCTGCGGCCACTACTGCTGCTGCCGCTATCGTCACATCGAAATGGCACGCTATTACGGGGGTAGGGGCCAGTCGAGGCGGCAGTACTAGTGGTAGGTGTCAACGAGTGTGGCCGGGTACTGTCCGCTGCGGTCTAGTGCGCTGGAAGGCGATTAAATTCTGTCGGATGCGATTGGGAGCGGTTTGACGAGGTCTAGTGCGGTGGGGAACGGTCTAGTGCGGTTTGGAGCGACTAGGGTGGTCAGGTGCATTAGGGTATGGCCGGGTGCGGTCGGATGCGGTCTAGTGCGGTTGGGAGCAGTCTAGTGCGGTGAGGAGTGGTCTAGTGCGGTGGGAAGCGGTTTAGGGCGGTGGGAAGCGGTTGGGCCGAACGTAGCGAAGGCACGGGCGGCTGTTGCTGGCGCTGGTTGCTGCTTCAGGCGCTAGCTGCTGTAGCTGGCGCTTGCTACTGTTGCTGGTGCTGGCTGCTGCTGCTGACGCTGGCTGCAGCTGCTGGAAAAGCTGCTGCTCGCACCGGCGTGGGGCGGCGCGTTGTAACCGTTGCTGATCGTGCTAGCGACGGGTTAGGGCACGACGAGCTAGGGCTAGGGTTACGGGCTTGTCGGGCTAGGGCGAGGGATGGGCGACGGGCGCGACGGGCTAGGATTACGGGCGTGGGCATTCAGGCGATGGGCGACGGGCGATGGGCGACGCCCGACCTAGGTTGCAACGAGTTTGCATGCGAGGGGGGGTGCGCTACAGGACGAACGGCAAACCCACGGGAGGGCCGCACTATGGGACGAATGAGGGGCCCGCGGGGGCCTTGCGAAGGCACGAACTATGGGGGGGCGAGAGGGGGGGGGGGGGTGTACGAAAGAACTGGGAGCGTCGGCCTACGGGGCGTATCGGGGAGTCGGGCTACGATGCACTTACGAGCTACGAGCGATGGGTGGCGGTGGGCCCATAGGAATGAAACTAGCTCTTTACTATGTTAACGAGTGAACGGAATGATGAATGACTAGAACGAAGTAGTACAAGGAACCATATAGCAAACCCCTAAAGGGGGTTGTACCCTCTACTGCATAACTCACTGTAACACCTAGACTAGACTAACAAACTATAACAAGTATAGTTTGACATCGTTCACTATGGTTTTCGCGTGACGCTACCGCCCAGCTAGCTATCCGCAGTCACGTCTCGCTTGACCAGAGGCCCCACTTCCGCCAGCTGAAAACGGCCAAAGTACCATATGACGCTCTAGTTAAGCGCTACTCCTCCCCGTCTTCTGCCACTATAGGCCGTCTTGCGATGCCGTTCCTCTTCCCCAAGCTGTCAAAATTCACCACTGTAGCCGACCTTGTGACTCACCTGCGCTCCCTTGACACGCTCTACTGAGCTGCTCTCAAGCCATCCTTTTTGGCCGAGAACCAGCCCCCCATGTATCTCACTCTTTACTTCCTCACGACTCGCCTCCCCGACTCTCTTAGCGCTGTTCGCGACCAATTCCTCTCCCTAGACCCTACCGAGCTCAACCTTGCCTCATTTGAGACTCGTCTCCCCAAGGCTGAGACCAGTGCTGTCGTTGTAACTTCCTCTCGTGGCACTCCCTGCTCCTCCTTCTTTGAGGGGTGTTATCCTTCCTCCCCTAGCGCCTTCTGTTGCCCTTGCTGCTGCTGTTGACTTCCTTGGTGCTGGGGAGGCCGGTGCGGCGTCTGCTCATAGCAGGAGGCACAACAAGAGTGGCCGTCAGAAGGGCAAGGGTGGTGGGTGTGGTGGAGGTGGCGAAGGCGGTGGCGGTGGCAGGGGTGGTGGCGGTGGTGGGAGTGGTGGAGGTGGCGGTGGGGGCTTGGGTGGCAGTCGAGGTGGAGCTGATGGGGGTGGAGGCTTGGCAGCTGCGCCTGGTGGGGCAGCTCGTGGAGGCGGAGGTTATGGAGGTGGACAGTAGCAGCAGGCACGTCGACAGGAGACTCTCTTGCTGCAGCACCTTTGTGGGTGGGTTGTCTAGCGTGGCTCCTCTGGGGCTAGTGGTCGTTGCCCGCACGTTCGGCGCACGGGTCCGAGGGCTGGTGAGCCCTGCGGCAGGGTGGGGCACACTGAGTACCGCTGCTTCTACCGACCTCGAGGACGCCTTCCGCGGCCAGTACGGTGACGAGACCAAGCTCCCTAACTGGTTAGGATTGCTCAAGAAGGGCGTGGATGTGTTTGCTCTTGCTTGGGACAAGATCTCTGCTGGCATGTATGCTATGTATGCTGCTTTTGCTAGTGCTGAGGGTGACTATTATTCTTGTGTATCTAGACCTTGTAGTGCAGAGGCTACTAGTGTAGATGCTTGTGAGACTGCTAGCACAGGTGCAGTTCCTGCGGAGACTGCTAGCACTGTTGACCATCCTGCAACTATCATCGGATACGCATTGCAATGTGGTAACCGCAAAAGGACCGCAATATTCACTGTAACTGTAGCGATGCCTGCAAAACAGTTAATAAGGGAATGTACCACTGATAGTACCAAAAAGCGGAAAAGAAATGGAAACCAAAAAGGCGAGTGGGGCGGGGACCAGGTTGATTGTTTAAAAAAAACATTACCCGGCCTACTCTATAAATCTGGGTTGGGTTCGTACGCCACCCTGCATATAACGGGTTGCGACGATTACGACTCGGCACATAGAATGGTTCGTGGCTTTTTCAGGCTGCTATGACCGAATGGTGGGTATTCTAGCAGAGCAACAGTCCATAGAGAGTACTTCAGTCCAGAGCTGGGCCTAGAGTCTCTGTCGGGGTCAGGGTTATTTCGCAATGTCCGTGAAAATTACGAAAGTCTAAAAGAAGAAATATAAAGAACAAAAACAATACGAATTTGCTTGGGAATTGGCTAAGTCCCAGAAAACTGCCTAAGACCCCAAAATTTGATAGTAGCCTAAGAAAATTGGTTATAACCCAAATAAAGCGCCAAGTCCAGCATTTCCTGTTATTAAGCATAATGAAGGTGCAACATCAAGAGCTACAGTAAATTCAACTCGTCCCAATGTCAGAACATTATGTTTCTCTAGTCTGCAGTGGGGTACTCTGTAGTGAGTACAACCCTGTTAGGGTTTGTTATATGTATCCAACTGCTTTCTAGTTCAACCATTCCTTCTCATTTCATTCTCGATTCTCACATGGTATAGAGCGATTTCGATCAAAGGGCCCACCACTAAATTTTTTTCTTACCTGCCTGTCGCGCGCGTCGCGCCTGCCCTTAACGACCCTTAGCGGCCCCCTTCGCGGCCCGTTAGGCCCCCGTCGCGGCCCCTTCGCGGCCCGTTAGGCCCCTTCGCGGCCCCCTTTACGACCCGTCGCGGCCCCCTTCGCGGCCCGTTAGGCCCGTCGCGGCCCCCTTCGCGGCCCGTTAGGCCCCCTTCGCGGCTCGTTAGGCCCGTCGCGGCCCCCTTTCGCGGCCCGTTAGGCCTCAGTCGCGGCCCCTTCGCGGCCAGTTAGGCCCCTTCGCGGCCCCCTTTACGCCCGGTAGCGGCCCCTTCGCGGCCCGTTAGGCCCGTCGCGGCCCCTTTGCGGCCTGTCCCGGACCTGCCCCGACCCCGGCCCTGCCCCGACCCTGTCGCGGCCCCTCGTCGCGGCCCACCGTCGCGGCCCCCTGTCGCAGGCCCCCGTCGCAGCCCCCCGTATTGGCCCCGTCCCGGCCCTGTCCCGGACCTGCCCCGACCCCGGCCCTGCCCCGACCCTGTCGCGGCCCGTTAGGTCCGTCGCGGCCCCCCTTCGCGGCCCGTTAGGCCCCTTCGCGGCCCGTTAGGCCCCTTCGCGGCCCGCCCCGGCCCTTCCTCGGCCCCGTCCCGGCCCTGTCCCGGACCTGCCCCGACCCAGGCCCCGCCCTCATGCCGGTCGTGGCGCACCAGGGGCCCGTGCACCGCCCCCCCCCTCTTTTCCCGTCGCCTTGCGTGGCGAGCGGGGGGGGGGGGGGGGCGCGCGCGCCTCCTCCTCCTCGGGGTCGGCCCCCGTCCTCCTCCCCCCCCCCCCCCTCAGGTCGCCTCACCAGGCGACGGGAGGGGCGACCAGGTGGGGGGGGCCACGCGTCGGAGCAGCCGCCCCTGGTGCAGCCGCCCCTGGTGCAGCCGCCCCTGGAGCAGCCGCCCCTGGTGCAGCAGCCCCTGGAGCAGCGTCCCTGGTGCAGTCGCCCCTGGTGCAGCCGCCCCTGGTGCAGCCGCTCCTTGACCTCAGCAGCCGCCCCTGGCCCCTGGCCCCTGGAGCAGCCGCCCCCCCCCCCCCCCCCCCCCCCCCTTCCATGGGGATGGCGGGGAGAAGGGGGGGAAGCTTGGAGGTCCAGGGGGAGGCAGGAGGGGATCTGCAGCACCAGGTCCCCCACCCTTCTCCTACCTCCCCCTGCTGCGGGTACAGCAGTGGGGGGGGAGGGGATTTGCCATCCCCCTGCTGCGGTTGCGGCAGTGGGGGGAGGGGACCTGCAGCACCAGCCCCCCCCCCCCTCCTCTCCGCCATTTTCTCCTCTCCCTCCCCCTGCTGCGGGTGCAGCAGTGGGGGGGAGGGGATCTGCCGTCCCCCTGGTGCGGATGCGGCAGTGGGGGGAGGGGACCTGCAGCACCTGCTGCGCCCTGCTGCCCTGTGCGCCCCGTGCGCCCTGCTGCCCTCTGCACGCGCCATGCACAGCAACCCCCCCCCCCCCCCCCCCCCCCCCCCCCCCCCCCCCCCCCTGCTGCGGGTACAGCAGTGGGGGGGAGGGGATTTGCCATCCCCCTGCTGCGGTTGCGGCAATGGGGGGAGGGGACCTGCAGCACCAGCCACACCCCCCCCCTCCTCTCCGCCCCTTTTCTCCTCTCCCTCCCCCTGCTGTGGGTGCAGCAGTGGGGGGGAGGGGATCTGCCATCCCCCTGGTGCGGATGCGGCAGTGGGGGGAGGGGACCTGCAGCACCTGCTGCGCCCTGCTGCCCTGTGCGCCCCGTGCGCCCTGCTGCCCTCTGCACGCGCCATGCACAGCACCCCCCCCCCCCCCCCCTTCTCCTCCATCCCCTGCTGCAGGTGCAGCAGTGGGGGAGGGTATGGGGGTGGCGGGTGTGTGGCATCCCCTGCTCCTCCTCCTACTCCGTCTCCCACTGCTGCAGCTGCCGCTGAGGGGGGTGGGTGTGTGTGAGTCGACGGAGTGGTGCTAGGGGGTGGAGTGTGAGTGAACCTAGGGGTGCAGCAGGGGGTGTGTGAATGGGGGGGTGCGGCAGTAGAGGGAGGTTGGGTGGAGGTAGCCGTCGTGTTGCTAGCAGTGCCAGTAGTCCGGAGGTGCGCTTCCGGTAGCCCAGTGATGCCGCTGCGCCAGTCGCCCGTGGGTCCGTTGCTCCTGCCGCTCGTCTTAGCCGCGGAGCCAGTTACCCCTGTAGTCCGGAGGTGCGCCTCCGGTAGCCACAGTGCGCGCCGCTCCTGTTGCCCGTGTATTTGCAGCTTCCGCCGTTGCCTCCTCTCTCCTCTCCTATTAGTCCAGCCTCCTCCTCCTCACTTTCCCTCTGTGATAGCCTCTAGCTTTGCTTATTTATTGTGAACTTTAAACTGTTACTTCTTGTACTTGTGCTCAGAATGTGTGGTGACATTGTGATCCACCCTGAGCTTACTTTGCCTTGCTTCTTGTGCTGATCATACCCCACTTTGACTATGGGGGTGTGTCAGAACATTATGTTTCTCTAGTCTGCAGTGGGGTACTCTGTATTGAGTACAACCCTATTAGGGTTTGTTATATGTATCCAACTGCTTTCTAGTTCAACCATTCCTTCTCATTTCATTCTCGATTCTCGCAATTTAATCCGGACTTCCCTGCTTTTTTAAACAAACTATTCGGCCTAGCTGAGTGGCGCGCACATTTCACTTGAAAATGAAAAAGTATCTTCAAACAAAAAAATAGCCCCAGCGCGGACCCCCTCTGCCTTATCGTTGACTAGTAAAACGCGTACACACAACCTATATCTCGCCATGACAGCAGACAGCTTGCCGTCGCGCCCGTCACGTCAGTCGCAACTAAGGGCGCGACGGGCGCCACGAAACAAGAAATACGCGGTGGGCCCATGGAGTAGTTGAAAACAGCAGGCCAGGATGTTACGTGCTCTGTACCATGTCAAACATAACAGGTGAGGGTCCTAGGGTTTGACCTAGGCGAGAGTGACGAGAAGAAAAGGTGCAAGCCAAAAAGAGGGGTTCAATAGTAGAGGGCATACAAGATATAGGCAAGGAATTAGGCAAATGGTACACCACCTAGCAGGAAACTAAGATAACTACACTAGGCTACTGTAGGCATTTATATGAAAGTATACAAATACATTTCAACACACCCCCTAAATGCCTACAGTGGAAACCCGTGTGTAGCACAAAGTTTGCAGGGGTACAACAGGTGCAGTGGAAGAAACAGAAGCAAGCAAGAGCAGTAGTAGCCAGAGCAGGAGTGGCAAATACAGCTGTAGCACGCCTTCAGCCAAGGCAGAAGCAGTAGAAGGTGTAGGGGCGGCAGGTCGCCTGAGGAGCAGGCTCTGTGGCTGCAACATGCAGCAGGACAGCAGCGGCTCGACGGCAGCACCTGCAGGCCCCAGCAGCAGACAGCAGAAACAAGGGCAGGTGGCGGCAGGGGCGGCAGCAGGAGGTGCCACGGTAGCAGCTGGTGGCAGCTGCAGATGCTTGACTGTTTTCCCACCACCCTCTCTTACCCTCCCCCCCACAGCAGCACGAGCGGCAGTGAGAGAGAGAGGAGGGGTGGTTGCTGGCTTTGCAGAATCTCTCTCGCCACCCTATCACACTCCCCCCGTTCCACCTCACCCTCCCCCGGCAACCTCTCCCCCCCCCTCACGGCGGACCCCGCTGAAGGGAGGGGTAAGACGGGCTGCAGGCAACTCACACCCGCCACCCCCACATCTCCCTCCCCCCACGGCGGAAGCTGCGGCAGGTAAGGGGGGGGCGGCGTTAGCTGCTGCTCACGCAGGTGCTGGCGACGGGCGCTGGTGCTGGCGCACACGGCCGTGCGCGGGTGCGCACGGTCGTACGCGGCTGCGCGCAGCAATGCGCGCCCGTACGCTGCTGCGCGCGGCTGCTGCTGTGTTCGTGACAGAACGGGGTGGGGCAGGTCGGGACGGTGCGGGTAGCGCTGGGCGGGTGACAGGGCGAAGGAGCAACGGGGCAGTACGAGCCGCCCAGCTCGTCGCCATGACAGCAGACAGCTTGCCGTCGCGCCCGTCACGTCAGTCGCAACTAAGGGCGCAACGGGCGCCACGAAACGAGAAATACGTGGTGGGCCCATGGAGTAGTTGAAAACAGCAGGCCAGGATGTTACGTGCTCTGATACCATGTCAAACAGAATAGTTTAGGGGCCTAGGGTTTGACCTAGGCGAGAGTGACGAGAAGAAAAGGTGCAAGCCAAAAAGAGGGGTTCAATAGTAGAGGGCATACAAGATATAGGCAAGGAATTAGGCAAATGGTACACCACCTAGCAGGAAACTAAGATAACTATACTAGGCTACTGTAGGCATTTATATGAAAGTATACAAATACATTTCAACAAAGACGACACGCAAATCCTGGTTTTGCAGTGACATGCCAAGTGACTGAAGTCTGCAAAAACACACAGTACCAATGTCGTCCCCATGCATGCTTCACCACCACTATACAAATTTGGAAATTCAACGTCGTCAGCAGTGGAAGCATCGAGTGAACTTGACAAGCACGAAATGGAGCTATTACTAGGCTCGTTCTGGTTATTCATTGCTTACAAGTTTGCCTCCCCCACGCCACTCGTTTGGAAATTTGGTTCGGTTGAGTTTACCAGCGAAGAAGCGAATCCGTCTCTCTACCAACCTAAGCAAACCAGACCCGTCCAGACGATCCAGCACAGACCAAAGGAAAAAAATCCATTGTGAAAGCTTGCTTAGTCAATCTTGCAAAGGCAGCGTGCTTCATTCCAAGTGGGCAAGTACAACGTTCTCGTTCATCAATGATACACAATGGGGTGGGTGGTGGGAAAGTAAAACTAGAAAATGGAAATGAAGAACGTGGGTGGAGCTACTGGAATCACGTTCCTCTTTTGTAGGCAAAAGAGGGGTGAGTAGCGTCGAGCCGCTACCTTTGCTTTGCTGGCCACGCCCTCGCTTTCACAATACAAAATTTGAAAAAGTGTTACAATTTTATAAATTATAATAAACCAACGACTCGGATGCGACGCATTGCCACACTCAAGACAAGACATGAAGGAACCAATATATAGTAAGATTACGATTTTAGCAAGTTCTCATTCCACTTTGGAGTCGACCTTCTCTTGCAACTCTCGCGGCGCCAACATCTCTCAGAATGTTATAGTGCTTACATTTGTGTAGGCTATAGTGGGGTAGCCCATAAGGGGTACAACCCAATTAGGGTTAGTACTTGTACCCAACTCTTTGCTAGTTCATTCATTCTCGTTCGTTAGTTTGACATGGTTTCAGACCAAGTCCTTCGTTAGGACCGATTTTTTTTTGGCCCACCACAGCGCTGCCCCACTAGCCGCCCTGCTAGCTCACGCGCCGCCCCTAGCGACCCTCGTGCCGCACCTGCTGGGCGGTGGGCTACCCCACTATAGCCTACACAAATGTAAGCACCATAACATTCTAACACACCCCATAGGCAAAGTGGGGGAGAACAAGTGGTCACAAGACCACTGAAGAAAGCAAAGCAAGCTTTGGGTGGATCACAAAGTCACCACACAGTCCGAGCACAAGCAAAGGGCCACAAGGCCAGTTCACATGCAGAGTTATATAAAAGAGAACAAACAATACAGTGATCATACCCTAGCAAGTGCAAGCATGCAGGTATATATATAGATCACAGTACAAGCAGAGTCAAGCAGTGAGCAAGTGAGGCAAAGTAGGCACAAGGCCTAACACAGTAGAGAAGCGCTAATGATCACCAGGCGGAAGTGCCTTGGTGAATATATCAGCAGTGTTGGCCCTAGTGGCCATGTACGCAAGACGAAGCTGGCCACGCTGCTGCAACTCTCGAGCAAGGAAGTATCGCAGAGCGATGTGCTTTGTTCTGTGCTCTAGTCTGTGCTTCTGATACAAGGCAATCATGGCCTTGTTGCCAACGTACAGAACTGGAGGCGAACGAGGCTGCTCTCCCAAGTCAGTCAGCAGGTAGGTGAGCCAGCGTAGCTCCTGTGCAGCCATGGCCCCTGCGTAGATCTCAGCCTCACAACTGGAGCTGAGAACCGAAGACAAGCGGGTTGACCGCCAGGAAACAGAGCCGGAACCAAGGCTGAAGGTGTAACCCTGTGACGACCGCTGCGTAGCTGAGTCGTCAACCCAGGAAGCGTCTGCGTGACCAGTTAGGACAACTGGACCCCGTCCTCCAAGCACGAGCCCCATGCCTGACGTACTGCACAAGTAACGCAGTACCCTCTTCGCAGCATCCCAGTGCACCTTTCGGTGCCTACCGGGAGCCACGTAGCGAGCCAGGAGGCTGAGAGGGTACGCGAGGTCAGGTCGTGTGCACGTCATCAGGTACATGAGGCAACCCACAAGCTCTGGGTACACACCACTCGGCTCTACGGACTCGTCCGAAGGTGGAGCTGAGAGCGAGTGGCCGGTAGACAGAGGAGTGGGCTGTGGCGAGGAGAACTAGAAGCCGAAGTGCTGAAGGACCTAGTGCACCATGTGTGACTGAGTCAGTGTGATGGTGCGCTGTGCTCTGTCCCGGGTGATCTGCAAGCCAAGATAGCTGCGCAGTTCACCCAGGTCAGTGCAGGTCTGTCTCTTCTGCACCTCCAACTTCACAAGGGTCAGTGCCTCAGTGTCAGCAGTGGCAAAGACCAGGTCGTCGACGTACACGAGGACGTAGAACGGCGGCACCGACGTGTCGGTGCGTAGAAACAGTGACGGGTCGGCATTAGAAGGAGTAAACCCTAGAGCCGCAATGGTAGTCCTCAGTGTGTCGTGCCACTCATAAAGGGTCTGGCGGAGACCGTAGAACGGCCACCATAGGCTCCACTGGGTACCTGCAGGAAACGACCGAGTGAAGCCAGGTGAGGGGCGCAGCCAGATTTCCTCGTGCAGGCTGCCCTGCAAGAAAGTTGTGCTGATGTCCAGAGAGTGCAACTCGTAGTCACGCTGAGCAGCTAC